GATGAGGTGAGGGTATAGAGAAACAGGCAGTTTCTCACATAGTTGTTAGGAATATAAATTTATAACTTCTATCCAGAACAAATGGGCAATTGCTCCTAAAATTGAAAATGCACATACTTTTTGACTCACAAATTCCACTTCTAAGAATTTACCCTCCATATATGCTCCCAATAGTACAAGTTGATCTGTTAACAAGGATCTTTATTGCAGCATTATTTATAATAGTTGCAGGCACCAGGCCTGGCTGGCCCAAGGTCTGGCTGTGATCCAAGGTCTGGCTATTATTCAAGGCCTGGCTAATCCAAGGCCTGACTGGCCCAAGGTCTGGCTGGTCCAAGGTCTAGCTGTGATCTAGGCCCGTGGCTAGGAATAGGACCCCAGATTTAGGAAAACAAAACAAAACAAAACAAAACAACAAAACAAAACAAAAGCTTATTGTATCACATATGTGTGGCTGAAGACCACTATTGTACTCTGCTATGTGAGGAGCCATGCGGCCCCCTGGAGAGCAGAAGGGGAGCACAGGAAAGGGGAGCAGAAGTGCACGCAATACCGCGCTCCCCACAATAGAGCTGCACTTCCCAACAGAAGTATGCTCTGCACAATAAAGTTGGTGCTTGCCATTTTATTCTTAGTCCGCCTCTTGTGCATTTTTCCAACTGGGTGCCTCATCATCGAACTTTCCCTTCTCGATCAGCAATACTGCTGACACTTGATGTAGCCAACAAGATTTGCTCAGCCCTGATAATTGGCATAGCCAACAGGATCCACTTGGCCCTGACAATAGCAAAAAGAATAAATGCAATTAGAATGTTCTTTAATAGAAGATTGGATAAATAAATTATGATACCTATACATGATGGAATACTATGCAGCTGTTAAAAAGAATGAAGGCCCATTATGTGCATTCATTTGGATAGTCTTATATATGATGTGGCTATTAATCAAAAGCTATAGGTGATATCCAGAATTCACATAATGGAATAACACAAGGGATTAGATTGTCAAATCAAACTCACCAAACCAGGGACTTACCTAGTAAAATGTTTTAGATATGACATATCCATTTTATACTCGGATAATTGTATAGCTTAATAACATTTTCCAGGAAGCCTTTTCCTATAAATTCAGAGATTCCAGATTTAGTTATCATGAGCAATCCTAGACAGCTATTGGTACATTCTGCCAAAAGCATTCCATAAATAAGGACTCTTCAGCTAGCAAGTACCATTAGCTTCTTTGCCAGGAGGCCTATTTACTAGAATGTTCACAAGAAAAATAGACCAGATTGCCTCTCTTCGTTCTTCCCCAGAAATATCTCCCAGTAATAATTATTTGCAAACCTGCTGCATAATAACTATATCTTTCCCATTCAATATTTTAAATATAAATAAAAATTGGCTGGTTCTGAGAATATGAAAATGATGGAGGTTTAATTATGTTAAAAGATTTTAAAAATTCAACCAAAAATACATTTATATGTCTTAGGATACAATCAAGTTTAACAGTTTTTAGAATTAGAAGGCAAAAAATTAGTCATATCTTTAAATAAATATGAATAGTTACAATGCAATTCAAATTTAAAGGAAGTATAAACTACTCTGCATATCCAGTCTTCTGTTCCTTCACCCTCCAAAATCTATCAAACAACTTTTGTTACAATATATTTGTAGATCTCCTCAGAAAATTTACTCCCCACCCTAACACACCCTTAATAAAAGAAGCATGTTTCAATATTAAGTTGAACCATACAAAATTCCTGATATTTGATTGTGTCGACCTACAAAACAACAATTTCTTATGGTTAAACTAATACTACATGGGCACTACCTTATTTCATCTCTAAATGTAAGTCACACAAAATATATAAAGAACCAAATTGATAGAAAACATTCTAATGATACAATAAGGCAAGATTGTGACCAAGAAAAAGCCCTGATTCAAGTGAGGAGACCTCTACGCTAGTGTCTCCCTCATCTCCTACTAATTGTAAGTATTTGGGGAAGTCTATTTATGTCTCTTAAGTTAAATTCCCTTGCTTGTCAAACAAAAGTTTAAATGCAGATGATTAAACCACAATGAGATACCACTTTGCCATAGAGAATAAAACAGAAAATACCAAATATTGGCAAGGATAGGAAAAAACTGAAACCCTTGTGCATTGTTAGTGGGAATGTAAAATAATGCAGTGCTGTGAAAATAGTTTAGAAGTTCTTCAAAAATCAAAACAACATTATCACATGACCCAGCAATTCCAATTCTATGTATACATCCAAGAGAATTGAAAACATATACTCGCACAGCAGTGTTCATAGAGGCAATATCTGCATTAGCAAGATGGTAGAAACAACCCAAATATCTATTAACAGATGAATGGATAAACAAAATGTGGTATATATCCAATGGAATATTATTTGGCCTTAAAAAAGAATTAAATTCTAATACATGCTATAACATGTATAAAACTTGAAAATATTGTAGTAATTGAAATTAGCCAGACACAGGACATACATTCTCTGATTCCACTTATTTGAGGCATCTAGAATAGGTAAATTCATAGAGATAGAAAATAGAATAGAGATCATGAGGAGCTTAAAGAGAGGGGTTATTATTTAATGGGTAAAGAGTTTCAATTGGTATGATGAGAAAGTTATGGAAATGAACAGTGGTGATGGTTGTACAACATTGTGAATATACTTAATGCTACTGAATTTTATACTGAAAAAAACGCTTAAAATGGTAAATTTTATGTTATATATATTTTACCACAATAAGAAAACATAGATAATTATCATTAGCTCTATTATTTTAACTATAGGTGTTGTAAGTTTTTCTTTCATTTTATGGTAGAAATAGTAGATTATTAAAATCAAAAAATAATTTCAAATATTGCTTGCTGTCATTAAATTCAAGAAAGAAACAACAAAAAAATCTCACAGCTTTTAAAATGAGTAATAAAATGTACTTCATAATACATATTGAAGTTTTAAATATTTTAAGAAAATTTCTACCCATGAACATAAATGCAATAAAAAATTTTAAATATATATGGAATTAGTTGTAAAAAATGACATCTACCATGAGGAAAAAGAAAGTTATGTGACAAGAAGAAGAAACAACAAAAAGTAACTTTTACGGGAGATTGCAAATTATCTTTATTCAGAAAATTCACAATTTCTTGAGCTTTAACAGCATTAACAGGGAGCATTAAGAAGAGGAGGTGGTTCGAGAGTATCTGTTGGTTTCTCAGAAAAACGTGTAACAACGAAATATTTTATATTTAAAGACAGGTAGCAGATGTCTTGTAATTCTTCGCATTGTTGCTTCATTGATGATTTGAAATAATCCAAAAGAAAGATAATTTCAAATTTCTGAGTGTTTTAAACAAATGTTGAATATTTTATGACGCGATAACAAAGAATATTGTGTGAATGGATGAGCCAGTGGCAATAAACCTCATTTTGGCAGTGGACTAGTGAAAAGGGCAATTTTTTGTTCAGCAAACCTCATTTGAGCACTCATATAGCACAGGCTTTGGAGTCTGACAAACAGTGGATTCTTCTCTTGGAGCTACCACTTGAAGATGTGTGTCTTGGGAAAAGTAATTTTTCAGTGCCTCGATCTACTTGTCTGCAAAATGGGGGTTTAATAATGGTCTTGTTGAGATGGTTAAGTAGATAATATGTATAAGATTCTCAGTACTGTGCCTGGCACATAATGAGCCTTTGATAAATGCTGTCTACTAGTTTCAAGAGCGATGTACTGTACAGTGGGCTAAAAATTACATATATGGCATAAGTTGCAGTTTGAGCCTATGGTCCACTTGCTGTAGGATTTAGGCATGTCAGTTGGGCTAGTGGCCTGATATAAGAGGAAAATAGGAACCTCTGAAAACCTTTCTCTTCTCTTAGAGAAAGAAAGAGTGAAGGACAGGTTTAGTTCAAGAAAAGGGGCTAGAGTAAAAAAGAAGGGTAACAATGCCTAGTACTCAGAATACTCTACTGGCCACAATCTCTGACTGTAATGCAATTAAATTAAAAATTAATAAAAATATAACTTAAAATTTATTTGTTAATATAAAAGTGCACCATTAACCCATGAGACCAAGAAGAAATCATGGTAAAAATTAAGAAACTTTAAACTGAATGATAATGAAAATATCAAATATCAAAACTTCTGGGATGCATCTAAAGCAGCATGTAGAGAAAATTTTTTAGTTTAAAATGTTTGTATTAGGAAATAAGAAAGCTAGAAATTTATAAGCTTAGAGAGTTAAAACCAAAAAAAAGAACAACAGAATAAACAAAAGTAGAAGAACATAAATAAGAGCAGAAAATCATAAACTAGAAGCCAAGACACAATAAATATTATCTGTAGAGCCAAAAAATTGATTATTTGAGACTAATAAAATAGACAAAACTTTGGTGAGAATGGTGAAAAAAAAAAAAGAGAGAGAGGAAAGCCACACATAACTAATAGAATTAAAAAAGGGGGAATGTAATAGCAGATTTGGCAAATATTTAAATAATAATTAAATAGTATTTATACAAATAAGTATGCTAATAAATTTGAAAATTTAGATCGAAATGCCAAATATTTAGAAAAAAATATAACTTACCAAAATTTACTCTAGAAGAAATAAAAAGCCTAAATAGTTCTATCATCAGTAAAGTGCTTCAATCATAAATTTAAAATATTCCCACAAAAAAATATTAGACCCTTAAGATTTTATATGTGAGTTATATTGAGCTTTAAGAAAGAGATCATTGCAACTATATGAGCTCTTCCAAATAACAAAAAAGAAAGAAAGCTCCCTGTGGTGAAGTTGTCAACTGTATATATAAAATCTTCCTCCCCTTCTTCCAAGGGGAAGAAGGCAACAGCAGGTGTGTGGCTGCACAGCCAGAGACTATGTTTCTTCCTCCATTGTAGTTAGATGTGGTTATGTGAATAAGTTCTCCCCAAATGAATGTGAGCAGACATTAAAAGTACGATGTCTT